ATAAGTTTTTTCCTTATCTTGCAAAATTTCTTGAAGTACCTAACTGATGTTTCCAGTGTGAATATATTTATTCATTCAGTTCATTATGGACCAACTTTCTGCATTATCATGTTGAAAAAAGGTAAAAAAGGACAATTTCCCCAAACTTTTGCCACAAAGTTGTAAGCTCTGTTGTCTAAATATCACTGTATGCCAGGGGTGCCAAGTGATGCCCAGACCTGCGTGCGTCACTGGCGGAGGATACGCCCACCAGGCTATCTCTCGCATTTCCGGGATCAGTTCACCAAGCTGAAGCTGCCTCCGATTATTCTGTGTCTATAAAGAGTCTTAGGACTTACAAACGTTTATAAAACATGACTGAAATCAACCCAAACGGTTGGGCTCCAGTTGAAAACAATGGAGAGGAGAAAGACTGTGCTGCGGCCAAAGCTGCAAACAAAACGAGACCTGTGAGTATTTTCCTGAAAAAGTTTACTACCATAAGCTGTGTGTGTGTGTGTGTGTGTGTGGGTGTGTGTGTGGGGGTGTTAGCTGCGCATACTTTCTTGCATACACTTTGTGTGGCTTTATAAGTGCTAAACAAACCTACTGTTGCATGCACATTTAATGTTTTTTTTCATCCTCTCACAGCCCAAACCCCGGTATGCTGTCACCATCGCTGTCTCCTCACGCACCCTCTTCAACATGGTGGCAGAGAGGAAGATCTATGAGGAAGAAGGACTGGAGAAGTATGTGGCTCATCAGGTGGAGCATGAAAACAAGCCTCTGAAGCCAGGACCTGCTTTCCCCTTCGTCAAGGTAGGCCTGAAGCCCTGCTGCAAGTCTCTACAGGGTGTTTGTAGGGTGTTTGCAGGGTGTTTGCAGGGTGTTTGCAGGGTCTGATCCATGAAATTGAGCTTAAAGCAGGTTGTTGACACAGTCCACACCAGGAGCAACTTGCTTTACAAAAACAAAGACTGTGATCTCTGCATGCTGGTTTTTAAGCCCTGTATCCAGATCTCGAGTCTAGTTTTTGTGCTGAGACTTTTTAAGGGATATTGCATGTAAGGCCACACCTCAGTGAGTCATGTATTTGGCATTTGGCACTGTCGGATCCACTGCAATCGTAAAAAGTGTTACTTCCTTTAAGTTAGGCTGATATCAGGAGGTCATGTCATCTACTTCTGCTATGATGGAGGTTCCTCACTGACTTATAATTTCCTAATTTTAAGACAAACAAATTCAGACTTTCCTCTGCTAAAGGGCAAATTACAGAAACCTTCTATTAAAAACTGCATGTTAAAGCCGCTTTTTGCCTTCAAAACTGCTTCACCCCTTCCTGGTATGCAATCATACAAACCATGAAATCATACCAGTCTTCAGCAAGAAAATCAAAATTTTTTGAAGGACGAAAAGGTGGAAAAACCTACTGTTCAACTTCCCATAAAGGTTGGTTGATGTTCAGAGCCGGTGATTGTGCAGACCTGCTGTTCCTCAGACCACTCTGGGGCATTGTCACCATGATTGCATCTTGTTACTGTAAAATGATCTTAGCTGTTACGCAACACTTCTCAGTGAGGAGATATACAGACCTGCCACCACAGCTGGCAGCAGACACTGTGGGTTTAAGGCTTCGTTTGGCTTTCTCCAAATGTAAACCTGCCTGAATGTCGGGTATAAAGTGATCAATGACTCACTGGAACATGTTAATTATTTCCATTGCACCATCGCTCCTTGTCTTCTCTACAAGCAGCTTCTCAATGGCAGAAATGCCACAATAACACCCTTTTTTTTAGCTGAAACTGAGTAACAGATGTGTTGGTTTAATTCCTCTGAATGACTACACTTTGTTTGCTGCACTAGAAATGTCCTTACTTACCAGTATAGAAGTTATAATTGCTTCAATATATGGATATAAACACAGTTTACCAGCCATGTAAAAAACTACCTGAGGAACAGCAGTGGAGACACTCGGACCAGTAATCTGGCACTTTTGGCTATAAACACGGAGAGAACGAGGACCCTTGACTGCGACAACATCATTGATGCCTTCGCACTCAATCACAGCAACAGACCTATTGTTTTGTTGTGAAGATGTCTATGGTAAGTGCATGATTTTCCCTTCTGTTGGCTATTACAAATGTAATTAATTTGGTGGTTGAAGCACAAATCTTGGCTCTTTATAGTTACATCTATGATGCTCCAACAATAGGAACACTGCTGATTCATCATTAGACTAGTGTTGGTAACTGGCTGTGTGATTGCGTGATCTGAGCATTTTAGGCTGAAGCGTACACAGTATCGGTTGCCTTCTGTTGCTGCTGTTTGCTGCTCCGTTGTATTCAGGGCTCGACTGTGACAGAATTGTGTAAAATATTATTTTCAGAGGTTTACATAGGCAGGCTTATGTATGTTGTATCTATAGCCCTTATATTGAATACTTTTACGTAGGTATATATATGCTTATAGTCACAGAACGAGTATAGTTAATGCAGGCGTGTATGCGTGTATATATACCAAGGGTGGTCCGATGCGACCTCCATAATGAAACGCCCCAAAATTCAAAGCACCTTCTCTTATGTGCTGAGCATCCCCATATCACCTGCAACAGAAAAACTCTGGAGCCACCAATGGGTGTGGGGTGTGCAGTGCAGAGTATTCAGCCTTCTTGTAGACCCTGAATGAAGTCCTGTATAGGGCTCCAGTACGGGACTCCATAGTTCTCCTGGGAGACTTCAACGCACATGTGGGCAATGATGGAGACACTTGAAGGTGCATGATTGTGAGGAACAGCCTCCCCGATTTGAACCCGAGCAGTGTTTTGTTACTGGACTTCTGTGCTAGTCATGGATTGTCCATAACGAACACCATGTTCATACACAGGGATGCTCATACGTGTACGTGGTACCAGAGCACCCTCGGCCAAAGGTCTATGATCGATTTTGTGATCGTATCATCAGACGTGAGACCGCATGTGTTGTACACTCGGGTAAAGAGAGGGGCGGAGCTGTCAACTGATCACCATCTGGTGGTGAGTTGGGTTAGGTGGCGGGGGAAGCCACTGGACAGACCTGGTATACCCAAACGTGTAGTACGGGTGAACTGGGAACGTCTGGAGGAGGCCCCTGGCCGAGAGACCTTCAACAGCTGTGAGGGAAGCAAAACAGCGGGTGTGGGAGGAGTTTGGAGAATTCATGGAGAAGGATTTTCAGACGGCACCCAGGCGCTTCTGGAGAACCGTCCGACACCTCAGGAGGGGGAAGCGGGGAACCATTCAAGCTGTGTACAGCGGGGATGGGACGCTGCTGACCTTAACTGAGGAGGTAATTGGGCGGTGGAAAGAACACTTTGGGGAACTCCTGAACCCGACTAGTCCAACAAACCAGCCCTCTGTGATAGAGGCAGGGCTGGAGGATGATGGGAGATCTACATCAATTTCCCTACGGGAGGTCACTGAGGTAGTCAAACAAGTCCACAGTGGCAAAGCCCCAGGGATTGATGAGATTCGCCCAGAAATGGTGAAGGCTCGGGGTGTTTAGGGGCTGTCTTGGTTCCCCTATTTAAAAAGGGGGACCAGTGCAAACTACAGAGACATCACACTACTCAGCCTCCCTGGGAAAGTTTAGGCTAGGGTGCTGGAAAGGAGGGTTCGGTTGATTGTTGAACTTCTGATCGAAAAGGAACGGTGCGGGTTCTGTCCTGGTCGTGGAACAACAGACCAACTCTTCACTCTCGCAGGTTTCCTGGAAGGGGCCTGGGAATATACCCATCCGGTCTACATGTGCTTTGTGGATTTGGAGAAGGCATATGACCAGGTTCCCCAGAATATCCTGTGGGAAGTGCTGCGGGATTATGAGGTGAGGGGGTCACTTCTCAGGGCCATCCAATCCCTGTATTTCCAAAGCAAGAGTTGTGTCCGGATTCTTGGTCGTAAGTCGGACTCGTTTCCAGTGGGTGTTGGCCTCCGCAAGGGCTGCACTTTGTCAGGGGGGGGGTTGCAGTTCGGTGGGCTGAGGATTACATTGGCATCATCGGCCTGTGACCTTCAGCACTCACTGGATGGGTTCGCAGCTGAGTGTCAGGCAGCTGGGATGAGGATCAGCACCTCTAAATCGGAGGCCATGGTTCTTAGCAGGAAACCGGTGGATTGTCTACTCAGGGTAGGGAGTGAGTCCTTACCCCAAGTGAAGGAGTTCAAGTACCTCAGGGGTAGAATGGAGCAGGAGATTGGCCTGAGAATCGGGGCAGCAGGGTTTTGCAGTCCCTTTATCGCACTGTTGTCACGGAAAGAGAGTTGAGCCGAAAGGCGAAGCTCTCGATCTACCGGTCAATCTTTCGTCCTACCCTCACCTATGGTCATGAGCGATGGGTCATGACCGAAAGAATGAGATTGTGGTCACAAGCGGCCGAAATGGGTTAGCTCAGGAGGGTGCTCCCAGCTGGGAGGAGGCCACGGTGCAGACCGAGGATCAGGTGGAGAGATTATATCTCCACATTGGCCTGGGAACGTCTCGGGATCACCCAGTCAGAGTTGGCCGATGTGGCCAGGGAAAGGGAAGTTTTGGGTCCTCCGCTGTTGAATTATAAGGGGCTATAATGAGAGATGTTTCTTATATTTAGCCCACACTCATTTATATAAACAGTGTGGACAAGTATTAGAAACACTTACGCCACTCACTAGAGCCTACAAAATAAACTTTTTTATTTTTGGGGCTTTTTATTGCCTTCATGATAGTGACAGCTGAAGACAGACAGGAAAGGGGGGCAGAGAGAGGGGATGACATGCAGCAAAGGGCCTCAGGTCGGATTCGAACCCTGGGCCGCTGCAGCAAGGACTCAACTTTGGTTGGTTTGCCAGCTCTACCGACTGAGCTAACCAGGCACCTCTACAAAATGAACATTTTAACCTCTGTGAAGATAGAACTTATTGCAGGACTGGTGTATTGTAGTGTACCTAATAACCAACTTTGAAGATATTTAGGATTTATCATGTATGTTCATCACTAATTTATCTATCTATCTATCTATCTATCTATCTATCTATCTATCTATCTATCTATCTATCTATCTATCTATCTATCTATCTATCTAAATCCCTCAAATTTGTTAATTATGAAAATGGCCAGGATAGGTAGCGATGGGATATTTTCCAGTTAAAAAACAAACTTCTTGACGTCAGCTTCTAACCTACCTCAAACATATCCTTGACATTTCTGTTCTGTAATATCATGTTACTTATCAGCTGAAGTACACACTGATACCAATATACCTGTTATAAGACACCATTATGTGATACTGATGATGGCCTTTGTGGTTTATAAAGCACATTCCTTTCTTTCAGTCTTGTTTTCCGTGTTACTAAACTGTGGTTCAAATGTTCTCCAGGTCGTGTTGTAACCTCATGTTGAATGCTCTGACACAACATCCTGTCTTTTGGTGTAACGCAGTCTGTCCTCTCACGCAGGCGCTGATGAATGTCAACTCTCGTCTGAGGGAGCTCTATCCAGACAGCAAGGAGCTGTTTGACATCGTATTAATGACTAACAACCATGCCCAAGTCGGAGTGCGCCTCATAAACAGCATTAATTACTATGGTACGCTGCGCCCTAAACCAAACATTGTTGATTGTTTCAGCAAGGTGGCGGCATGCCTGCTGCATTTAGAATGGGGATTTCTTTCTTCAGCACATCTCCAACTTGCTTCTATACTTTTCAGATCTGACCATAGAGAGAATCTGTGCGACAGGAGGGAAAAGTCCCACAGGCTACCTAAAGGCGTACATGACAAACCTTTACCTCTCCAAGGACTCGGAGAAAGTCATAGAGGCCATCAAGGAAGGTAAGTTGGATTATAACCCTGATTTCTATCACACACCACTTAAAAAAAAAACTAACTTTACTGTTTAATAAATACATCAGTACATCAGCAGCCTATAGGTGTATTGGTACCACACTGATATTCACACACTTGCATGTTGATTTTGTGTGTGACTCATTCTTGACCCCACACTACGCAGCGAGAAGGAGCTGGTTGAAGACAGCATGCGATTCATGGCTCCCTGTCTAGCTTCTTAAATGTGATGATTTGCTGCTTTCACTGTAAATTAAAAATATGGTATTTGAAGATGTCACTTTGGGATCCAGGGAACTGTGATCATGTAACACTTTATAATACAGCTCTTAGTACTGTAACCAATAAGTCAATCAATATTTATAACAATACAGGTATAACTTATTTCTCTCTATAATTTATTTTTATTTGCCATTTTTCTCCATAACCCTTCCATGTCTTATTAACTAAATGATTTATATATTTATATATTTATTTATAAATTTGATACAGAAAATAATCATTATTTGCAGCACTACTCCTATACATTTTATAATAAAATTCACTTCAAGCGTCTCAAAATTACAGATATCCATATCCAAGCCCACATTCATGCACATACACGTGATGCATGCTAACACTGCCTCAACCATGGCAGGATTTCAAATCAGGCTCATCTGACCCGTAAACGGACAGACTTGAAATACAAATGAATAACAGCGAGTAGTTGATTGTATACCATCACCTATTAAAGGCTCCAGATTTATTTATGAGGAAGTGGATGATCAGAGCAGGCTTCCCTTGATGGCAACAGGTTTACAGTCCTGAAATCCTTCAGAATATTCCTTTTTAAAGATGAACAATTTCTGACCCCAAGCATGCTTTTAACCATCCCTTCCCTCCTTCAGGCATTGCTGCAGCCACCATGTTTATGCAAGAAACAGATAAAGAGAACCAGTTGAGCAACACGCAGCTGAGAGTGGCGTTTGATGGCGACGCCGTCCTCTTCTCGGACGAGTCAGAGATCATTTTCAAGCAACACGGCCTGGAAGCCTTCTTAGAGAACGAGAAGGAGTTTGAGAACAAACCTCTCGCTCAGGTAACTGATGGTTGTTTCTGTGTACTTTAACATCACTGGCACTAGAATACACTGTATATAAAAGAACAAGGGGTGAAGTGACATTCTGTAGAAATTGCACAGGTTTTTTAGGTTTGTTGAGTTTTCCTCTTTTCATTGAATACTGCAGATTTACCCTCATAAACAAATTCCTCAGTCTGGGTTTCAGCTGATAGATTTATTGTGCTTTGATGGCTGAAAATGAAAGGCTGAAAGTGGTGGTCACCCTCAAAAGATTTCCTCGCTGGGATTCATGTGAATGTGAACGGCCCATTAATGATTGGTTGTAGCTGCGAATCCACAGAAAAAGAGTTGTTTTTACGAGCATAACACACCCAAATCTCTGAGGGGTAATGTAGGCGGCGGGTTTTGAAAAGGAAGACGAGTATGTGGAATAAAAAATATGATGCAGCATCAATTTGTTTTCTTTTAACTGTCCATTGCTAAGTACTCTTAAGTCTTCTCTGTTATTGGTTTAGATTTTCTGTTTGCACATGCTGTATACAGTGGCAGAAACCCCAGATAACATAAATAAAACAGATGTGACAGAAGAGGTCAAGGAGCCACAGGCGCAATAAGAAACACACAAGCTGAACAGAAGTGTAGCTCCTCCAGTGACAGGCATTAAGCAAGAGGTCTTGATTAGAATACAGGGCTTTAATGCTGGTCAACCCGTGAGAACTCATTGCTGCTTATCACAAAGAGGTGCTAAACATCCTTTTAAATCTCCTGTCTCTTCTTCTGTCTATTTTCTTTGTAAACTTATGTACTTAAACACTACCACAGTGGAAAAGGCAGTCTCTTTCGCGGTAAAGTTTCCTCGGTGGGTGGCTAAAAAGGCACTCGGGTGAAACACTCGGGCGGAACAAATAATTAGTTCCGTCTTGCTGTAAACATACAATTCAGAAGAAACAAAATAATAAAAAGTGCTAATACAGAAAATAAACTGGCGACAGGGGCAGTTACAAGAAGAGTTCACCCAGTCTTATCAGCTATCACAACAACACCTGTATGGGTCAAAGCAAGGCTGTGGAAAATGTCTGCAGGGTTTGGGAACCTGCTCTGCTGACTCTAAATGTATTTTAAATCAACTCAGGCATCACTGTTGTCCTTGTTTGACCTGGTGTGTGTGTGTGTGTGTGTGTGTGTGTGTGTGTTTTTAACTCTTTATTTGCATACTGCTTTTATTAATATGCTCAATCAAAAAGCAGTTGCATAATCATAGAGCAGTTTTTCAGATTCAAAGGTGCTGCAACCAGTGTGTAAGATTAATCTAATGTAACAAAAACAATAATAAAGAGGAAGAGAGAGATTTTTCTATTAATAATTAAAAAATAATCCTAACTACATATACACATTTCATTTATATAAAGATGCTGGTGTCGGGACCGATTCCACTTTAATCTGTCCCTGTGTTGCTTATTTCAAAACTTTATGAATTAATTAAATTCTTTGTCTCTTTTCAGGGTCCCTTAATGTGTTTCCTGGAGTCTCTCGGGAAATTCCAGAGAAAATTCTACGCCAAGAACGAGCGTATGAACTGTCCCATCCGAACCTTCCTGGTCACGGCCCGCAGTGCTGACAGCTCTGGGGCTCGTGTCCTGAAGACTCTCCGCAGCTGGGGCCTGGAGATCGACGAGGCTCTCTTCCTGGCCGGGGCGCCCAAAGGGCCTCTGCTGCAGCAGATAAAACCCCACATCTTCTTCGACGACCAGATGTCCCACATTGACGGGGCCAAGGAACTAGGAACCATATCTGCACATGTCCCCTACGGGATCGGACAGAAGTACCATGACGGGAAACTCATCGAGCAGCCTGCAAAAAAGGAGTAACCTAAAAACGGTTAAACTATTAAGGATGCACTACGTTGATTTCCGACAAAATAAAATATTGTGTTCAGGGAAAATAAAAAAATAACAGCTACTTTTATAGGATATAGGTATGTAATTGGTAATGCAGTCTTCAAAGTTTCCTTTTTCAGGGTTTTATAAATATTTGATGCGGTTTTGTTTTGGGATAGGGTATTATTGATGAGTGGGGGAATGTATTTTCAATTAGTTAGAGTTACAATTGGTGCCATACACTATTTCCACTTAATACTGTTTTGGAGGAGAAACACCAGATCCATTACTTATCAGTGCCTTTTAATCATACTATTGGTGTACCTGTTTATCTTTTTTTTTACATTGACAGTATATATATATATATATATATTGGGTTATAAGTCTTTGGCATGTTCACTAAGACCAGGGTGGTAGAATGTTTCTGCTATAGTAGTTGTTGTTTTTTTCTGCATTGGATCTTTCATAGACTTAAAAATCAACAGCCAGGTAAAACAAAAATAGCAACCAAAACAATATATTACACATTTTGCATGTGTAACATATTCATATTAGTTATATAGGGTTATCTATCAGGGCAAAATGTGTATGGCTTATAACGAACACTGATGCTGTCATTCTTTATTACTGTTTTTGTTGTTAATGCGCACAAACTGCATAAAACATTATGAAACATTTAATGATTTTATATGTTATATATTATATGCTATTTGTATTTTCTAACTTTTAGCCCCTTTAACCTTTATAGCTAATGAGTGCATTGAGTGCAGAGTAAGTAGTTGGATGAATAAAGGAATGTATTGTACTTGTATAGCGCCTTTTTAGTCTTCCGACCACTCAAAGCACTTTTACACTACGTGGCATATTCACCCTTTCACACACATTCACTCAGTGATGGCAAAGTCCATCGAACAGAAACTAACTCATTCATACACATTCACACAGTGATGCATGGCATCGGGAGCAATTCGGGGTTCAGTATCTTGCTCAAGGCACCAGGAGCCAGGGATTGAACCAACAACCTTCCGATTAGGGGACGACCCCCTCTGCCTCTGAGCCACAATTAAGTAATTAAGTAATTAAGTAAAATTTTTAGGTTATTTTACATGAGTTCTACTTTATACTTCTACTACAATGTGTTCCAGGGGGATATATTATACTTTTTACTCCACTAGATTGCATGTAGATCAAAAAATGATATCATGTTAAAACAAGTGACTCCCAACCTTTATGGCTTGTGACCTGTTACAAAAAGTTGTGTCTAATAATAATAAAAAAGATTTCCTCGCTATATTTTGCAGATGTTTTAAGGCTGCTGAAAAGTCCTAAAAATGAATCCAAATATATGCAGCACAGCTTCTATCCCATTAATCATCTCATAGCCCTCAGATTCATGTTGGGAGGGGCCCAGACCTCTAGCTTGGGAATCACTGGAGTAGACCTCCAACCTGTATATTAAGTATAAAATACTACACGTGTATTGATATCGTATTGATTTCATATTTTTATATTGTTAAATATAATAATTTTACTTATGTAAATGATATAAGAACTTTCCCCAGCACTGTTCTTTGTACATTTCAGCAGTAGATGGTGCTATTTGGCTGCAATTGTCCACCAGGATGATTAAACATTTCTTGTTAAGCCCACAACCTTGTGTTTGGCAAGGAGTCACTTCCTTGTGAAAGTTCACCAGTGGAGGTGAAACTACAGCCGTGTATCTTTGGGCAGATCTGTCCTGTCATTAAACCTTGATGTCAGTGTCTGGCCAACCTCAACTGATGGAGATCCATTCTCATCTTACATG